GCTATAGATAACAATTAATTTAACATCATAACAACATTAAAATCTCGAAAAGCAAACAAAATGACGTATGCGGCAATACACATCGTCTGACAGAATTCGGGGGTCGTATCAAAACACAATGCACTAAAGAAAAATGTAATCAAGTAATACGGTTAAAACTTCGTGATTATAATATCACTGTCACTCTATTTGTCACAGCCTCCATACCATGGAGCTGCCCTTGGAATGAATTTCCAGTTAACTCCCATATCTGCGAGTTCCTCTTTAAGAGTTTTAGATTCAAACAGTTGCTTCAGGTAATTCGCTGCAGACTTGAAAGTTGGCGCATTATCTGAGATGATTAGCTTAGGCACGGATATTCGGCTTGCAAATCTACGGAACGCCCGTAAAAATGATTGTTCTGATAAATCACTGACTGTCTCTAGATGAACTGCTCTTGTATTGGCACATGTAAATAGGCAAATATAAGCTTTAGATTCTCTTTGGTTCCGTTCCTTGACGAATAAAGCTCCTGTGAAGTCTACGCCTGTACTCGTAAATGGCGCTGATTCTTCCGTACGAAAATAGGGTAAAGGCGGCAGTTCTGGTGAGGAATAGTGCTTTCCTTGTACAACTTTGCAAATCACACAATTTCGCGTGACAGATTTTACAGCTTGTCTGATGGCTGGTATCCAAAACTTTTGTCGGATGTATGACACTGTTGCATTCGTGCTAGAATGGCCACTCCGCTGATGAGCATCTCTGATGATCAAGTGTGTAAACGCGTCCTTCCTTGGTAGTAAATAAGGGTTCTTCGTCTCATTGTCTATTTCGGCATAGCAAATCCTACCTCTACAGCGTATGCATCCATCCGTATCAAGAAACAGACGAAGCTGTGTGATAAGAGATGGCTTGGCTCCATTGGAATTCATTTTCATAATTTCATTGGAAAATGCGTTCTTTTGACAGGACCAGGATGTTGTGGAAAGAATAGAAATGCGTCTTGATCGTATAGTGGTTTATTTTAGACTCTGTTATTAACTATAGAAACATAACGTACAGTATTGTGACGTAACAATAACGTTAACGTACGTTACATAAACCCGCGTATAATCCGTGACACTTGTGCATCCTTCAAGCTTCACGTAACTAAGTTTACAACTTGTGAAATGTAATTAACTAAAACAACACAGTGTTTTCGTCATATTCATAATAAGTTTACAGATGCAATAAATTATATAATCTCTTAAAACTGATAAATTTCTAAAGATCTGTAGGAATTAAACAGTTGCTTAATCAGAAATATATATTTTGTTTGGAATGTATTCAATTCACATTGTATCCACACAATTCTTTGAAAAGAAAAAGTAAAATTAAAAAATAATGAGCCCAGCTTCCTTTTCATATGAAACATCTGACACGTATGCCATTTGTAAACATTGTTTACGTTTTAATTTGGCAGAGAAAATTCGAACAACAGGTATCGCCGCATGTATGGTTTTCAAACAACGCAATTTCACAAATATGAGTAATGTGCAATTTTGTGCTCATCTTATGTATGTGTGAGTGTTTAATTTATACCGTTTCAACACCAGTTGGCTGCCCAGCAGTCCCTTGTGGGGCACTTAGATATTTTCGGAAGTAGTCCATCTTTCTGCTTTCGTGGACCTTCTGAAGTACGCATGCGCAAATAGATCGGATCGGGGTCGCGATTCTGTAGTACCTAAGCGGAACCGGCGTGATAGCGGTACGGATCTATCAGATAATTTTCGAGTTTCAGAGGTCAGTGTAATTTCTTATTATGTATATTTTCAAAAAGCCAAGGGTTTTGACAGTCTTTTTTAGAAAAACACATTTTTAATATTTAGAAAAAAAATCCACTGTTATTTCGTTGAAATAAGACGACAATATTTATATAACTTCAAACATTGTCAAATGCTATTTCTAAATAAAATATAGCACTAGAGATCTTACAATCAGATAATTTAGGTGATCTATTTATATGCAGACGTATTTCTTGTGAGATGTAAAATCTCATCTGCAGCTTTTAGCTTTTTTATCATGCCAATATAAATGAACTGATCATATGCATCATTTATTATGTTTGCATTATAAAATTTCAATATAAAGCAATCAACCTTTACAAGCGCTCACAAAAATTCCCTTTACCTCCAATAAAATGTTTGCGAGCACTCGCTCTCTTGAACAGAGATCAGGCCTTAATCAATTGTTTTGGTAGACTTTTGTTTCCCAATTAAGCTTTATATATAAATTGTCTGTGCATTGCTCCATAATTCCTTCATCTCTCAGTAGATTATCTTAACAACAGTCAACTGTCATATTTAGACTAGAATAGATAAGTCCACACTTTTCAAAAGTTATGTCCCTTGGCTTGTTTCATACAGTAAGCTTAGTTTTCTACTATATATATATAGTAGAAAATGAAGGTTTGATCGCTCTGTTGATTGTTTTATATTGAAAATTTATAAATGCAAATAAAATAAATGATCAGTTCATTTATATTGGAATGATAAAAAAAGCTAAAAGCTGCAGATGAGAATGAAGATGAGTATTTTTCATCTCACAACAAATAAGTCTGTAAATGAATAGATCAATTAGTGCCGTGGGATAAACCCATGGAATCCTCACAGTAGCATTTGTAGTTTTCAGAACTGTAACTTTGTCAATTGTGTATAGTGAATACTGATTGCCCAGTGGATTCATCACAGCCAGCCCACATGTTTGGCATACTTGCCAACTCACCCGATTTCGTCGGGTCACAGACACACCCGATTTTTCAACCCGTAACCCGATTATTTTTTATGACCCGGCGGGTCATGCTTATCACCCGATTTTTGCCAAACAACCCGAAAATCTCCCGATTTCCGGATTTGTTCCAGTTAAAACCCAAGCTTAGATCTAAAACAATGCCGATGGATTAATTATCAGTGCAGGTGTAAACAATTAACTGGGTGTTGTTTTGATCAATGTTTGAAGTCAATTAAAATGGCTTCCGATAGAATTAGATCGTTATCAGGGCCAACAGGAACAAATTGAACCAAACACATGTCTCTGATTGAACCAAGAAAAAGAGAAACGATATTTATGTACATATCTAGGAATCTTGGGAAAAAAAACTTTCATTCTAGATAAAATAAAGTGATCAAAGACAGTGTAGGCCTAACTTCACATTTAAAACATATTACAGTAGTTAATTAGTTAAGAGAGAGGAAAAATAACTTCAAAACTGAAATTGGTATACTTTCAAATTTAGCAGAAACTGAAACATGTGAAAATGCTTTTAAAAAAAATGCACTCTTATATACTTCTGAATCAGGCCAATATTGAAATATGCAACCTTCAATTCTCATTTTTAACATGTAAATTAAATCAAATTATATATGAATTTTTTTGTCATAGTAAATTAAATCCTTTTTCAATAAAAGAATTCTCAATACACAAATACTTTTATAAAATTTAATCATGGTAATTATGTCGTGAATGTCGTTACGCGTTATGACCAGATTTTTTACTTTCTAAATCTGGTCATGACCAGATTTTTACATGCTGGAGGTTGGCAAGTATGATGTTTGGTAGCATAAAGACTTAAAGGAGAAATGTTGTTTCTTTCTCTTTTGACCTTTTGATTGACCCTACACAAATTTTGTAAAGTGTACTGGAATTGGACTATACTTATCGAGTTAAACATAAGGATAATTATACTCTCAGCTCTCATACATAAATGTTAGACAAATTTGGTACAATTGGTTGTAATAGTGGAAATTGCAAAATAGCGTATCAGAAAATGTATGAATTTGTCCAGGTTTATCAGAATACATTACAGATTATTATTCATGCAGCTTGCACTTATAATGCATGATTATCTCTTTGCAGTGCATTTTATTTCCAAGAGCTATGGAAATTTTAGCTTTAATCACATTATCAAAAAATAGAAAAATAATGGAGTTTATCACTTCCAAATTTCAGAAATTCTGGAGCTTGGGTCCATGTATAGCAATAAGGAAAAGATACTAGCGAATACATGCATATCTGAGTGAGTAATTAGTTGTGGCAGGACGTAGCCACTTTGGTTAACCGCGTATATATTGTGGGATTAATTTATTTCCTGGATGTAACTATTATCATCATCATGTCAGAATCAGGCCAGCAGGGTCAGTTTCTTAAAAAAAATCTTTCTTAAAGCTTCATAGGATATGATATTGGCATTAGATTACATTTATCAATATTCATAGGGTATACTTTACAATAAGTGACATCGAGTAACAGGAAGGAAATGTGGTCGCTTTAATCTGATTTTTAGAATCCTCTTTTCCATTTCGATGAATGTAAAAATTAGCTGCTGAGGTGGTTGATCAAGTTAAAAAATAAAGAGAGCATCTTCAAATATCAGGTGTATTAATTAATCTTATAGAGTAAGATCTTTCAAAATTAAATGAACTTAAAACCTAACAATCTATGTTACCTATAGATTAATTTGGAGGATGAAGTTATTTCTATAAGTCTGATTTCACATTGTACTGGATTCCGTTTTTTTGACCTAGCTAATATCACATGCCAATTGCCTGTCATATTTATTTACTAAATGTAGGAATAATTACTTTTCATAATGCAAAGATACATGGGTTTCTAAAATAATGGAACATTTTTAATTCAAAAGTCGATATGGACTTTTGTTGTAAAGTTTATTGCAAAAACAGACAGAAATACAGATAAAGATGAACAGACAAACAGATAGAAATTAATATCCCCTGGCCACTTTTAGCGAAAACAGTCACCTGGCTCAAAGATTCATTTATGTATCTTCATACTGGGGGAAAAATCATAAAAATGTACACTAAGATGAAATAATTTAATTAGAAGAAAAAAAGGAACAGTATTTTGTTTTAGCATTAAAATAATCCATTTATAATACCTATTCAATTAGCTTTGAAGGTTTATTCATAGAGGAAAAGGGTCAGAATATAATACATGTAAAATGTCGAGCTAGGTTCTAGATTATGACATTTATTGAGAAAAGTGTCACATTCTGCTGAGAAACAGTAATATACATCCATGTACATGTTTATTTCTTGGACAGGTAATGATGATCAATACTGAGCTGAGCTTCAGGTGTACCCTATAATATACAGCGTTCAGAACAGCAGGTGAGAGGGTCACATCTGGTAAGCTATATTATTGATCTATTTATCAAACAAGAAATACATTGTGATTATGCTGTATACATTGTATTTATGCTATGATATATAGGTCTGAGATTCAAATTTATGACTTAATGTAATGAGTTAGAATAAGAAATATCATATGAAGAATTTTATATCTTGGTGCTCATTAAAGGTATACAATTATCAAACTATAGGTAGAAAATAAAAGTACACAGTACTAGACTACTAATTATTAATCTTTACACATCATTCTGTAGAAGTAAATGTAGCTATTTATCCGAGTTTGATGAATACAAATATTTGACCAACTCGGACATTTTACAATACACAAATAACTTCAAAATAACGTTGGTTTGATATGTACATGTAGTCACTATAGTTACATGTACCAGTTTTCTGTTTCTTTAAAGAGTGATGGCCTTGACACTGGAGAGCCTTCTGGGGTTCCTGAGGGTCACGGTTTCTCTACCCTCCTTCCCAGTCTGCTGTTGTTACTTGGTCATGATCCTCTTCCTGGCCCCCATATGGCAGCGAAAAACATCGCCAGTACAAATCCGTCCGGTACGTTGATTTTTAAATATTATTTTTACAGCACAGTAGTTACAAAACAGTGGTACAATTTCTGCTAAAAAGACCTTGTGAAAGAGAATTACCTACACACACACCCTTCCAAAAAAAACAAAGACTTTTTATCAATGCACTGCGTAACAACATTATTAATAAAATACTACACTTTCCAAATAATTGCATCATTTTCACTTTTTCCCCCTTTCATAATTGCATTAATTTACACTTTTTTCCCTTTCATAATTGCATTATTTTCGGTTCAATTTCTCCTTTTCATGACTAAACCTCTTTCCATTAAAAGATAACTTTCTTCTATAAATAATTGTAGATTCTCATCCTCCACAACTTTGCCTGCAGCTTGGTCAGTATCATTGCCTTTGTTGGCTTCCTGAGGGGAATTCTCCAAAGTGATTCAATATTCCAGAAGGGTGACTCGGAGATGTTAAAACCGGTCTACCGCTTATACTGGCTGACGAAGCTGCTAGAGCTCCTGGACACCGTATTCATGATCGTACGCCACCGCCGGCGTCAGATCAGCTTCCTGCATGTGTACCACCATAGCTCGATCCTCCTGCTCAGCGACGTGGCGTACCACATGTATCCTTGGCCAGGAATCGCCTTCTATCTCATGAACAATTCCTTTGTTCATATTGTATTGTATATGTACTATGGCCTGTCGGCTCTTTTTCCCGACAAGTCATTTCCCTGGAAAAGACATATAACAGAGCTACAGATATTCCAATTTTTTGTAGGATTTGTGCATGCCACTTTTGGCTATATGTACCACGGATTTTGTATATATGGGATTTTTTATGGGATTACAATGACAGTTTTGTTCTCAAATTTTTATTATAAAGCTTATCTCGCACCAAAGAAGTTGAAAGCATCTTAATTTTTTTTCAAAGATTTCTTATTGTTAGTGTCCATCACTAAAAAATTTTACCCTAAATGTATTAGAAACAGTTTTCAGATTTTTTGCTCAAATATACTGAACAGACTTTATTTTGAATACTAAAGAAGAATATTGTAATACTCAAAATGTCAAATCTCTCAAAAGCTTCAGTACTTATATTAGCATCAAATGTGTTCCAAATTTGTATTTGTGTAATGAACTACTCTCAGGGAGTATTTATAATTGTAATCTCTTAATTTTATCCAACATGTACATTACACCTTCAACAAATGTTGCTTGAAAATAACTGTGATATTTTCTTAGCTTCAAAACAACGATTTTTATGTGTTTCAGTAGAATTTTACTTTGTAATTATGGTAACATCAGGTAGCATATTCATCTCTTTTATGTCACAGTACAGGTGAAACATGATATTATGAACACTGATATCTCAAACACCACAAAGTGATTTGAGAGTCCCAATCACTTTTATTTTAAAAGAATATAACCCTATAAAGTTTTTTCTAAGATTTTCTGTGTTTTACTTAAGAAATATGTTTTTTTTTCCTGGAAAATCATAAGGGTTACAGAAATATTTTGTATGAGTGACCAGGGGGTTTATGAACCTTGAAGTATTTTTATCTTATAGTTTATTTATTTATAACTTTAAATCACAGTCATCATGCAAACTACAACAACATGAAAGTTATATTTATTTAGATTCCTACCAATTGTAAAAGAATAGTCTCACATTCATTTTTGTCAAAGTTTATAGGACGTGTTAGTGTTATTGTGAATATTTCTTTCACCCCTTTTTTGGTGCTGAATCTGTGAGATTTTGCCATTGAACACACCGGTTAGTGAACTGAAATTTAATTTCAGCACATTAGAGTAGTTATGAAAAGTCGAAACTTATGCCATGTTTTTTTTTTTAAAATAGGAAATAGATTGTAAATTCTAGTTAGCTGTATCTAAAGTTCTGTTTCTAATACTCTTAGTCACTACAGGAGCAGAGTTTTTAGTGTGGTTGTTGTTTTATTTTTTGGTGTAATTGGTGTTTTAATCTTAGTTTCAATAGTGTGGTTGTTGTTATTTTTTACATTTTTTAAAATCAGTTTTTGTTAACAAGAAACTTTTTCATGCATTAGTTGGTAGCCAGGTTTGAGCTTATATTTTTGGATGTGGGTCATATACTCAAAACAAGCAATGTGTAAGATTTGAATGAACATGATATTTTGCACTTTTTTTTCTTGATGTAGCAATTTACACAGAACTCAAGTAGAAATCTTTTTTTTTTGTATCCTTTTTCTGTTCTTGTACATGTACATGTACCACAAACATTTTTACTTCAATGGGTGGGCAGTATTTTTTTAACCATCCTTGTTTTTGATTAAGAAATATCTTAACACTTAGGAATGTTATTTAATCACAGATAAATCAAAAGCATGTAAATTGTGCTATGGTAAGTATAAATATAAAAGAAATCATAATTGCAATAATGACTTTGTACATGTTTGGGTAAAAAAAAAACAAACCCAAAATGTGCCTATTAATTTATTTTAGATAGCTGACGAACAGCCAGTTTTGATATCCTATTATTTTTAATTCTGAGCTTGAACTTACTAAAATTAATATATTTAATTTCTTATTTTTTATGATATTGTGGCATTGTTTTTACTGCATGCCAACCAATGTATTCTTTGTAAAAAACATAAGATCTTTTATGTTCATGGAAATCCATTCACAGTGTGTAATAAGCTTGATCTACTTGTCAGATAAACCCATGCAGTAGTAGGGTAGCCATTTTATTCCATATATTAACTCTTCAGAACACTCGCCCTCTCCTACAGTTTGGGTCTAATTTCAATAGAATTCAATACACAAGTTAGAATTCTGAAAAATGGGATTTGATTGCTTTTTGAATGCTAATGCAGTAGTAACTAAAAGTAGAATTTCCTTTAAATCTCTACTGATCCTCCTAAAGTTTTAATCTGATTTTAATGAATCTGGGCTTTTAATATGTACATGAAGTGACTAAACCAAAGATCATAACTCTTTTTATTGATGTTTCCATAGTTTCAAGCCCAAGTACTTCTTTTCCATTGTCACAAGTACAAACCAGACCAGTACTCTGAGAGCCTCTTCAGCTGTAGGCCTGACTAGCTCACTGGTCTGAAAAAAAGGAAATCAGGTTGTTCATCCCAGAATTTTAGACTAGTGACCAGATCTGCATTATGTCATGAACGAATATCCTAAAAATTAAAAAAAAGATACTAGTATTTTAAAATTGGGTGAATGTAAGTGTGAAAATTTACTTTTATTTTGTGACACCTTTTCTATGCATTTTATACAGATTTCAGGTAAATCAAAATTACAAAAAAATCTTTTTCATTGTTTAAATGTTGATTTTCTTAAATGGAATCCCATATCAAAGTAAAATGTTTGCAGCAATATTGCTGCTATATTGGGGTAACATTGTAGCAACACATTTTTGTCACCAGAAACAAGATTTTTAGATTAGTAAAATATTTCACAACTAGCTACAACAATTTCTGATAAGATTGTGGCAATAGTGCCAGAAAAAATTATACGCAACATCTAGGTTTAAAAAAATCCCATCAGGCATTTGTTGAGCATGCTCAGTCATTTACTTCCTCTGTTTAAATATATGTCAATCAATTAAAGTATAATATTATATAAAGAGTTTCACTATATTCAACTTGTATTTATTTATAAGGCAGTGATATTAAATATGTTAAACCATGACTATTTATTTGGATGTACCAGTAATACATATCATATTTATTATACATGTAATACTATTTTCTCCACATTTATAAAACACACTAAAGAGGATTGTATTTTGATATGTGTATTTGTTTATTAAAAACAATAAAATAATATTTATATCTGTTTCTCTGTTCTATATTGACTCATTTACCAATATGAATACTATATCATAGATTTGAAAAGGGGGCAATAATTATATATTCATCAATCTAAGGTCAAGTACATGTCTGTTACCTATAAAGGACATGGGTGAACTTAGCGTGCAAAAAACCCACAAGCTTCAGATATATAAAAATCATATTCAAATTGTTAATTTAGTATTTAGAGTAAAGTTCTCATCTTTGATTTTTGTAAAATCATGATAAACAAAAAGTTTTGGGGAAAATTTTCCGTTAATATTTATTCTTTTATCAAGAAAAATAATGTGGTATCCATTGGGTTCGAACCCTGGCAATAAAAATCCTGAGTTGCATTCTCTATTGAGACTAGCACGCTAACCACTACGCTACACAAGTCCTGATGAAGTGTGGCATTTAAATCATGTTTGTGATATGACCATTGACTTAAGGGACTTCAATGACTCGTTTTGTCCTCTTTCGTGTGTGTATCATATTTCATAAGCAAATAACTTCATTTTTCATGAGATTTGTGCAAGTTGTAGACATTTTACATAAAGTATGCTTTAATGTTAGATGAAATATTAAGGAAAATTTTGATAAAATTGAGATTAAATTTTTCACCTTTATGTTTGTTGCACTATGGGCTTATCTCTCATAATGTTCACCCATCTCCTTACCATAGGCATCAGAATGGGGGAGGGGGCTTAGTCACCTCTCCCCCTTCCACTTTTTTTTTTGCAAAGATGATATGTGCATAGCAAATGGGGACTTGCCTTTTTTGTATTTAATGCCCCTTTCAATTAGCCCCCCCCCCCTCCTTCAATTTGCTTCCAACACCTATGATTACATTAAGTTCCAATGCTCTTACAACATTGAACATAATGTTTATTTGAACTGGAAAAGCCCTTGAAGTCAGCTTTGTAAAAATCAAATAGCTTATTTAAACTTTGGTGTATTTTAAAAATTTTTGGTGAAGGTATATATACTGAGAAAGATTATGAATATATATCTATATGCCCCAAAAATTCTATAACAGGATCATTCTCATAATTGAAGTAGTGAAGATTTTTTCCTAAGATTTGGTGAGCTAGGTGTATATATATGAATGAATTAAATCCGTCATGGGGATTTAATGCGAAAGATGAAAGGTAGATCTACTTTCACCAAATGAATGGAGATTTTTTTAAAGAACAGGATCAATTTAAGATGTGCATAATATTTATTATCATACAACGGAGTATAAACATAGAATAAACACATACTGTATCATTTAGCGAAGGATAATGACTGAAGAATCTGAGAATATTGTATAAAGAATATACGAAAAAAAAAATCTTCCGGAAAAAAGGTTGCCGTTGAGTCCGGTTTCAACATTAGAAAAACTTGTAGTTGCAACACGTAAGTTCAACAAGCCGGCTCTTACATCTCACAACTGTGGTAATAATGGCCAGTACTGCTTCACCACACTGGGAAGTTGTTGGAAAGGGTAAGAAGAGCAAGATCCCCACCCCTGTCAGCCGCGGGGAGAGGAAAAAGATCGCGGAGGGGATGCCGAAAGCGGACAACCACGGTAGGAATCAACAAGTGTCAACGTCACCATTATTGTTTGAACATCTGTATTTGATCATGTTATGCAATCGAAATCAGATGTTAGAGAATACATATTTATAATTATTTTATTGTATACTCAGTTCAAAATAACTAATTTATTACATAAAGTTGTTATTTGAACAAGTTGCACGTGTGTTTGAAGTCTTGACCATGTTTACACTGTAGCAGCTAGCAAGTGTGTGTCCAAGATGCTCATGCATTTACCATGTTTAGTAAAAACAGCTTTTTCAATACATTCAACTCAAGCAAATGATTTTTATAGGCGGTACATAAACATGATTTAATTTAGACCTTAAATTGAATTACTTTCCTCAACATGCCATTTTTTTTTTAATTTAATTTTAAATTTTTTTTGAAAACCCATATTTTATACAAACACAGAGTTCATTTCATAAGTTGACTTTTATAAACTTTCATAGTTGCACCTTTGAAAGAGTCAAGCACCCTGTTCAATGTGTTTCTGGAGAAGGAGAGGAAACAACAGCAGGCCAATGTACAAACTAAAGCAGAGGCAAAAGA